GGCGGCGGCGGCGGCGGCAGCTCCTCCTCAGCGCGCACGACCCGCTCCGGCCCGCGGCCCGGACACGCCCCCCAAGCGCGCGCGCCCATTGGTCAGTGTCCGCCACGGCGTGCTGTTCATTGGTCGACGTGGCTGTCGCTGCACCCTGGGCGCGCGGCGGAGGCGGGACTTCCGTTCGGCGCCGCCTGCGAAGGTCTCGGCGGCTAGCCGAGACGCGGGTGGCCAGCTATGGCCGCGGAGGTGGCGAGCCGGGGCCAGGCCCACGGCGGCCGATTGGAGGCAGCGGCCCAGGAGAGGCGCTCCTTTTCCAACGCATGTCGTGTGCCCCTCATTTGTCCATCTCACCGCCGCTGCCGCCCAGTAAGGTAGGAGCGGTCAGCGCGCCAACGATGTGGGAACAGGACTTGGGTTCGAATCCCGCTCTGGACGTTTCCGCCCAAAGGGCGGTTGGGCGCGGGCTGATGTCACCTCGCCAGGCCTCAGTTTCCTTTAGTAGCTCGATGAGGAGGCAGGCACCACATGTGATCAGAGCTCCATCTGTGCTAGCCATTAAGCCAAGTGAGTTAAGCCAGAAGCCCAGCTTCCCATTCATTCTTTCATTAAAATTTTATTGAACTCCTACTATGTGCCAGTCATTGTTTGGGTCATGAACCAGAATATACACCTTCCCATCCCCCCAAAAAAAAAAATCCGTTTGGTGCTGATATTATAGGCTAGCGCTATCCAGGAGAAATGTATGCAAGCTACAAGTGTGGTTTGGCAATATTTTGTAACTGACTCTCAGTGTGTGTGTGTGTGTGTGTGTGAGAGAGAGAGAGAGAGAGAGAGAGAGAGAGAGAGAGAGAGAGAGATGGAGTCTCACTTCATATAGTTCAGGTTGGTGTTGAACTCATTGTAGCGCCGGTAGCTGAGGCTGAGCTCAAACTAGCACCAATCCCACCTCAACTTTCTGTATATTGGGACTTACAGGTGTGCACCTCCACACCTTGAATAATTTACAACCTAAATCAGCGAAGTGCAGTAAAAATGTAATCGAGCCACCAATTGGTCAACTACATATCTAATTTAAATTTATTAAATTATAATCTAAGGGTGTGGCTCAGTCATAGAGGTTTGCTTTACATACACCAGGCCCTGGTTATGTTTGACCTGCAGACACACACACACACACACACACACACACACACACACACACACACACACTAAATTGTTAGCTGTATTTAAAAAGGGAAAAAGAGGGTCAGGGATATAGTTCAGTAGTACAGTGCCTGCCTGGCAAGTGTAAGATACCAAGTTCAGTCCCCAGTACCCCCACCAGAAAAAAATTAATAAAAGTAAAATAAAAAGGGAAAAAGCAGATGATATTAATTTTAATATTTGGTTTGGTTTTGGTTAGCTTTTTGAAGGTTTGGGGTTTTTTTATTTTGTTTTGTTTGGTACCAGGGATCGAACTCAGGACCTTGCGCTTGCTAGGCAGGTACTTATGCCGTTGAGCCATCTCCATGGCTGAGTTTTTTGTTTTTCACTTTTGTTTTTAGTCTTTTTGAAGCAGGGTCTTGCTCTGCAATTCAGGCTGGCTTTGAACTCACTTTGTAGCCCAGGCTGGTCTCGAACCTTAATCATCCTCCTTCCTCGGCCTCCAGAGTGCTGGATTACAGGCATGCACCACTATACCCAGCTTGATTGGTTTTGGGGATCTCTGTGTATTCCAGGCTGGCCTTGAACTCACTATGTAGCCCAGCCTGGCTTCAAACTCACAGCGATTCTCTTCCCTCAGCTTTCCAAGTGCTGGGATTACAGGCATGGCACCACACCTAATAGTTTATTTAACCCAGTATGTCCATGCTATCATTTCAGCACATAAAGTGATCCCTATAAGAAGTGATGGGGGGCCTGCCCCTTAGCTCAGTTCTTTAAGTGGCTGCTTTAACAAAGCAGTCAGACTCAGGTTGCTGTGGTTCAATCCCCACAACACAAGACAGCCAGTCATGCCTTGAAGGCATTGGGGGGGGGGGGAGAAGTGATGGGAGGGGCTGGGGAGATGGCTCAGTGGAATAAGTGCTTCCCTGACAAGTGCAAGGGCCTGAGTTCAATCCCTGGTTCTACCAAAAAAAAAAAAAAAATATTAAGGGAGCTTTTTCTGTTTTTTACCCCCTATGCTTTGGAAATCTAGTATGTATTTTACATCTGAGATGGAACTGTTTCAGGGCCAATGATATAGCTCAGTGGACTAAGTACCTGCTTAGGCAAGCGTGTGGACCAGGGTTCGATCCCCAATACCACAGGCTGCGCGGGCCCCACCCCCTGGGCATGCTGAGCTAGCAACCAGTCCGGGCATGGTGGACATGCCTGTAATCCCAGTGCTGGGGAGGCTGAAAACTGGAAGATCACCACGAATTCGAGCTGCGAGCTGCGTAGTGAGACCCTGTACCAAATACATTTAAAAAAAAAAAAGAAACTGTTTAGGGCCGGGGAGATGGCTCAGTGGAATAAGCCCTTCCCTGGCAAGCACAAGGGTCTGAGTTCAATCCCCGGTTCCGAGAAAAAAAAAAAAAAGAAACTGTTTCAAGGACTCAATCCCTAATACACTAGAAAAAAAAAAAAAAAATAGAAAAGCAACTGTTTCGAGGACTCAATACTCGCATGTTGCCAGCAGCTACTACATGAGCAGGTGCAGTGCTAGGTGGGGCAGTGGGAGAGGACGCCGATTGGTAAGAAGC